GTGAGGGGGAGGCCCCGGCGCGGGGGGAGTATTAAAAGTATTAAACGACTTAGAAGTATTTCTCCTTGTTCCAGTTTTAATATGCCGTGTTTTGAGCATGCGTTTCCCTGAACTGGGCTTTATTTTCCAGCTGAGCGTTGGGTGTAGCATATTAAAAGTATTAAACGACTTAGAAGTATTTCTCCTTGTTCCAGTTTTAATATGCCGTGTTTTGAGCATGCGTTTCCCTGAACTGGGCTTTATTTTCCAGATGAGCGTTGTGTGTAGCAGGCGCCTGGAAGAGGCGGCAGCCTTCTGGACAGCAAGATGAGTGAATGGGAAAGGGTTTTTGTGCAAAATCTCGCTGTTCCTCCGCCCTCCCAGCGGAGACGCGGTGTCCCGAAGGAGTCGACTGCTTTTCAGTGTGTCCTGAAGCACATCGAAGGGGCTTTCGTTAAACAGGTAAAGGAGTGTTCTGTCTCTGGGCTGTGCAAACGATCGCGCCTGTTTGCTGGCTTAAAAAACACAACAGACCGTTTTCCCTTTTTCTCTGCAGAAAAGTGCCAACCTATTTCAAGATCCTCTTGCATTCCCATTAGAAAAGCAGGACGCTGCCACAGCTGCTGAGTATTATTTGCTGTGTTTTCAGGCCAGAGTTCAGAAAAGTTTAGACTCTTGAAACAAGGTTAACTTGTCCTGGAGGAACTAACTGTAGCTCTCCCCCATAGCATAAATGAGAGCAGTGTCTAAATCCTTTATGTCTGAAAATCTGAATTTGTTTTGGGTATTAATTTTTAACTTAGGTAAGCATTTTTAATTAAAATCTCTAGACATTAAAGGTTTATTTTTTAAAATTATTTTACCTCTTCATTGTTTATTTAAAGTTGAGTCTCCAGCTTTTGCTTTGCCTTTTGATCTCTAATTTTAAAAGAGAACTCCATTTGCCTTCAGAACAGCAGTTTCTGCGTGCAAGCAGGAGGAAGGCAATTCATAAAAGTATGGTGTACTTGGCCACATTTATGCTTTTTGAGCATCAATTAGAAAATATAATTTATTTGTTATTATAAAATAAGTACTTTGTCAGCACTTTTGGGGGTAATTTAGATCAGGTGTTTCTGAGACAGACTTAAAGCTTTTTTTTTTGGTAATCCAGAGAGCGTCCGAAGGCTGGTCTGACATTGAGTACCAGCTCCGCCTGTCCCTTTTTGATGTCACATATCACCACTTCTTTGGGAAAACATGGAAGAGCAGTAGGAGGCCTCTCCACTCTGTCCCACGACAGCCCACCAGAGTTGTTTTCAATGAGGTATGATACGTTGTTCCTAACAGGGAAGTTTTTTTGAGATGGACTGTATTGCAACCTTTTAGCTGTAAGGTAAGCTGAGGATGATTCCCAGGAAACCCAGAGCACCTTCTCTGCAGTTGTTCGCAGCAGAGCCTGAGTGGTTTAATTTCTGGAGAGCGGCTTAACCTCACTAGTTTTAGTTTGTGTTGAAGTGGAGCAGGAGAACACCTAAAACCTGTTAGGTCATCTGAGTTGTGAAAAAACGCAGCAACCTTGAAGGAAGGGGCTGTAACAGAGAAGTGAGAATAGCAGCTACTGAAACTAGGCCAGTTGGAGCTACAGGAACAAGCTGTCTGTGAGCTAAGCCTGTACACAGCTTTCTGGCTTGCCAGAAGTGAAGATGTCCTTTTCATTCTGCTGGTGAGATCCCATCCAGTGTGCTAAGGTCGTGTTAGAATGGGGTTGTGGACAAGCCACGCTAGTTGCTGGAGATGCTGTGCCTCTGGTGGCTGCTCTTAAGTAGATTTTCTCACTGAAGGAAGTTGCTGTTTGCAGAGATTGGCAACATCTTCATTTAGAGGCAAGAGTTTTTCCTCTTAGATCTCCCAATAGGTAACGTAGGACAGATGGAGAGTGGACAAAGGAGATTCTAGCAGTGTATGAGCCGTGAAGATTTTTAATGCTTTAAAGGAAAAGATATCTTTCCTTGAGTTTACATAGGAGCCAGTCGTCTTTGGCTTCATCCTTCATGTGAATGAAACTGAAACTCCATGTGGCTGTTTGCTTCTTGGAGAACTCTGGGTGCCTGCTTGTTGCCTGCACATGAGAACACTGTAGACACGAGCACTTTAAAACAGCAAATCCTAAGTGTTTGCAGGATCTGGTCCTTTGTCTTCTAGCATGGCTATTCTCACTCTTGAAGCTTTTCTGTGGCAGTTCATTTTATCACTGTTCTTCTACATATGTCCTTATTCCAGGAAAGAACAACAACAAACCTTTTTTTACTTCTGGTGCTTCGTAATCTCTTGACTGTGGTTCATCTCAGATCTTGTTACATTAAGACAGTTTGCATGTCTGATGTTGCATGTCTGATTTTTTTAAGGGGAGAATTCAGATCTTCTGTTAATTCGAAGTTTGGGTAGTGGTGTAGTTAGCAGCTGGCTGTTTTGCTGTGCCACTTGTTGTGTTCCAGAGCTGACAGCAGAGTGCAGTGTTTCTTCAGGAATGGGAAGAGAATTAACAGTAGTCCCCAAGCAGAGCAGTTTTCTCTCATTACCTTAGTATTAAATTTAAACAAAACAATTGTTTTTATCCATTATGAATATCAGCAAAAGAAAATGACACCTTCTCCCTCCTGCTGCTGTGACATGAAAAATTGCAAGATTCATTGGGGCTGACTAAGAGCACAGTTGGCAGCGATTCTTTTGCTCTGTTCTGAGCAATGGCTGGTTTTGTGCAGTTAGCCGAAAGGGAGGCTGCAGATCCTTGCACTTTGGACATTGATTGCAGCCGAGATTTCATCTCCTTGTTCAGGACTTGTTTTAATTGTAATTTTTATTTCCGTTTTGACTGGTGCATTGTGCCAAGGATGAAGTTTAGTATGAATTATAGGTGTGCTCCTTGAATTCATTTGAATCAGTAACAGTATCAGAGGGTACTTTATTGGCATGTGCATTTCTTCTGTATTTCAATTGTCGGTCAACTTGTACTTTTTGAAGAGAGATGGGGAAGAATTATGGCAATGAGTGCTGCAAAGAAAGAAACATACCACTGTTTAACATACTGTCGGTTTCTGCATGCACCTGCTTTTCTGAATGCTACCCCTATAAAATAAGTGACATCAACGAACTTTAGGTGTTTTATTTGCAGTCAGGGACAGATAGCAGGAGCTTTTATTATGGACCATCTGGATATTACAGGACTGGATTTCACAACGTTTCAGAACTGACTAAATTGTATTGCTTATCCTCCATAGCCTACCATACAGCTCTCCTCTGAAGGCACTGTTCATTGCTCAGAAGTAACCCTTCTTTCAGTAACCCTTTGAGCAGTTTCACAGGATTTAGGAGTGTGTGAGGGGAGAATTAAATCCTCTGTCTCCACATGCTAAGTTTTGGGCTTTTGGCTGCAGAAACTAAATGGCTCTCAGGTGCCATTTCGACTGCCCTGCCCTCTCAGCGGTATAACCAAAGAAACAAGTCATAAGGCGGCTCTCTGCAGGAAGAATATTGGCAAGGGAAGTCAGTCCACTCGCGTGTGGCAAACTCAAGGTGACCTCTGTTGGGAAGATGCATATTGTGTTGTTGTAGAGTTTAGAGGAGAAGAACGTGCTACTAAAACTGCTATTAGCATTTAAGAAGACATCAGTAAACTTAGTTTACTAACAATGGATCCACTTTAATGGCTTTCTGGTTCTTTGCAAGCCAAAGCATCAGTGTCTCTGTCCAGCCACTTGTCAGCAGTTAGCGGTCATTATTTCAACATTTTGCAATAAAAGATAATAGAATAACGATTTATTTCTCTGGGATGATGTTTTAATGTCTCTCTGTTATCCCTTCCTGACAGTCTGTGATTACAGTAAATGTTTTCTCTGGGACACTGTGATAATGACTTTTTAATAGAAAGATTAACCTGGCTTTAAATCCTGTCCCTGGGAGATGACCTGTGTCCTGTCCCCTCCCCTCTTAGGTCTGTACCACTCTGATCTTCCTTTCTCACAGCACAGATGAAGGCCGTAGCAGACGTGAGGGTTTCCAGCTCATTTTGCTTTTCCAGCATAGGGCTCACAATGAAATTGTAGGTCAGATGAGCATTTAAACCCTGCTTTTCAGGTGTTTGCAGCCTGAGTTACTAAATCACATTACCTTGGAAAATGAGCATTTCCCCGTTTTCCTTGGAAAACTCTTTTCCTCAGAGTCCTAAATAAAGAAACGCAGAGCAAAAAATGCTGTAGCACTGACTGTTTACTGACCTGCCAACATGCTAAGGAGCAGAGGTAGCCCCTTTACTACCCCCAGAAGTGTTAGGAGGAGCCCTTGAAGGGGGAGGGGGGAGGAAGTGATGGAGACTGTAAATAGGCAACTTTTGGGGAATACTTTTCTAGGCCCCAGAGAATCATTCCCTGATTACCAGCCTCCATTTCAGCTTGACATTTCCAAGCAGTAAGCTCAGCACACCTACTGGAGGTCACTTGCTATGAGCTACTCTCTGGAAGATTTGTGGCTGTTCTTTTTGCAGTAGGCTTGCTGTCTACATATAACATGAATTTGTCTTCCAATAGCTATGCCAGTCAGGCCTGAAATCTGAAATATCCTTTCTCCCTTCTTTCCTCATCTTTCAACTAGACCATTTACTTCCATACCTCGATAAACCACCCTAGCATCATTGCTGTCGTGGAAGTTGTGGCAACAGCCAAGAAACAAGATGGGATCTCTCAGGATCTGTCGTGCGGGTTTGGAATCATTCATCTGTTCAGCAGCAAGTCAGAGCCGACAAATTTGGCTACCAAGGACAGAGGGTAGGTACCTTTTGCATGGGGGAAGTGGAGCTCACTAGTGTTTTGCTGAATGCTGTAAAGCGGTACAGCAACATACACAACTACTTGTTGGGGGATGGAAAAGGTGGTCCTGTGGCTGCAAAAAACAAACCTAGGATTTAGAAGACTGGAATTCTTTGCTATCGGAAAAGCAATGATGGGGTTGTCCCCTAACAGAATAGATGGTTAAAAAAGTAGGGATGGTTTTCTTGTTAGTAAATAGAGGCATTGCGGAAAATGTGCTTTCGGATGAATTTACTGAATATTTCATATTTGGTCTATGCTTTTTGGTTTTAGACTCAAGCTATACCATGGGACACCTCGTGCCTTACTGCAAAGTAAGCAGCAACAAGATATTACATATCACTCCCTTCTTAGCAATCTTTGCTATCCAAATATGTATTGTGTTTATTTGGTGGATGTATTCCCCCTATATTAGCATACAAAGCTTCTGGCAGCTTCTGGCTGCATGTGCATGAATGCAGATCAGCCAGGCAGAATGGAAAGTACCAAGCAGGAGAGAGGAAAGAGGTTCTGTGAATCTTGACAAGACAAGCTGACACCGTGGCCCAAAACAAATGGATTTTAGTTATTTATTTATACGTATTGATCAGACATGGCTCACAAAGCAAGGACTGCACATCATAAAAGGTGAAATACAAGAGGACGTTGCCTTGCAGAGTGTGTAACTGAGACCTTTGTCCTTCTGAACATTGTTAGTACTTGTCAGTTTGCTCACTTCTTTCCTGAAGGCTGAAAGTGAATTTGCTAGCTGAACAACTGTGTCTGGCCAGTATGTGGGGCTAGAGAGATGACCTCATCTCACCTGGGGAAGAAGGAAAGAGAAAATGCACTTTGTTTTTTTTTTACCAGTCACGAAAGTGCTGGTGCTGGGTTAAAAAAAAAAAAGTGGGAAAGCATAGCAGAGGCTGCAGACAGGCCGGATCACAGCAAGCTTAACTCAATCAGCTTAACTTGACCAACAAGGGAGGCCGTGGTCTGTGTCCTGGTAATGCTAAGCAGACATGTGCCATGTTGTTTCAAGCACTGGGATTGCCTGGTGGGTTTCAGTACCAAGACAGGAAAGGTCAGAATGTGAGACTAAATAATGGTTTGTTTGTGTATATGATGATTATAACTTTGTCTCATTTTGAGAAGCGATATCCCCTTCACACTGAAAGGAAAAGAAATTTTGTACAGTTCTGGCCCATTCTGAGGGAAATGGAGGTAGAAGTAGAAATGCTCTTATAAGCAGCATAGTGGAAATAAAATGTAAGAGCGACAGGGTTCTGTTCCAGAAAGACTTGTTGGATTTGGAAGCTGATAGCTGCCTTGTTCCAGGTGAGGCTCTTCATAGGAAGTAATCTTGTGAAAAATGCCCTTTTTTGTCTGTTGAAACAGAGATGTCTTCTAGCACTAGAAATAAACGCGTATTCTATAGCTAAGACTGACAATGCTCTGACAAGCGATAGGAATAAGTTTTCTGATTGCCCGGTGATGATGGTCAGTAAAGACATTTGAAAAATACTGAACGTTATGTCCACCTGTGACAGCCCATTAGAAAGCTTTCTGTTGTCTATACAGTGCTTTTTGTTTGGAGAAGGCAGCTTAGATCTGTTGCTATTTGAGAGGCATAATCTGTATCTGAGTAATATTCCTTCCCAAGCGCTCAAGATGCCAGCACGCTTACTAGAAACAGTGAGTGTATCTTGTAGTCAGAAAGAAAGTCGCCCTGTTTTTCTATTTGATGTGAAAACGGTCATAACTTCTTAATTCCGTGATTAGTAAATGCTTCTTAGTAGCTTGAAAGCAGAGATGTAGCTCTTCATTCTGGTGCTGAAAGGGAACCCACATTTCCACAGCAACTCCAGAATGAGTTCTTTGTGATTGGAGAATGAGCTGTGCTGCATCTGTGAACACACAGCTAAATGAAGGAGATGTCATTTCAGTTTTCCCCATCTCATGATATTTTTCTTCCTCTTCATACTCTGAAGAAGTAAAGTAGACAAAGGGAATTTAAGATGTTTGGTTAAAAGCAAGTGTCCCACATAGCCCTACTGAGGCTACGTGCACTCAATTAAGTTTTTGCTTCCCCCCCCGTGTTTGAAGGACAGAAATATCAAAGTGCATCTTATCTGGTTCTGTAAACGCCTATTCTGTCCTGAGAAGAGCTCTGTTCCTTTTCTTTGGAAGATCTGCTTATATGGGAACAACAAAAACTGCAAGATAAAGGAGCAACAAGAACGACTTTATTGAAAAAGGGAGTGAATGTTTCTAGGTTGTTGTCTTTGCTTACTTCTGTTTACTCAACTTGGCATTTGTTGTGGTTATCCTGAAGCAGCAGAATGTGAAGATCTGTGAAGCCAGAATTCCCACAAAGCTGAGCATGAAAAGGGCTCTTTATTCAGGAGTTCAGGAATGCTTTTCAAATTCAAGTTTTGCTTTGCTCCCAAAATGTTCATTTATTGATAATTTCTCTGACAGCAGTGCTTTAAAACCGTGGGGAGACGGTCTTGATCATTTCATAACGTCTTCTCCTATTTAGAGAACAAGCACATGACAGTGATGGAGAACAGTCACTTGCAATACACCTTAAGGACCCACCTGCCCCTGGAGACAATATTTCACCTCTTTCCTGAAAACCTTCTGATGTCTGGGCTACAGAAAATTCCTGGCTTGCTGCCGGCACATGGAGACACAAGTAAGGACTCCTTCATTTTGCTTCTGTCTGTGTCAGTCAAATTGCAATGTGAAGCAACACTGTTCATGACCGCTCTCATGGTGCTGCTGAGTGCGTGAGACACCTGATGGAGGGTGTGGGCAGAACAGGCAGGGCCCAGCAGGCAGTGGCATCTGTTTTCTGGGCATGCTGACAAAAGCTCTGCGCAGTGCCTCTGTGCAGGGTCAGCAAGCAGAGGACAGTAAGGTGTCCTCTCTCTCCAGTATGGTTACTTGGAAAGGGAAGCTTCCCCTCTGTGTAGTCCAGTGGGGCTTGAGGTCTACGTGGAGTAGAGATATCTAGGGAGAAAAATGCCTTCTGGATCTGTCCCTTTGAGGTGGCAGTTGTTTCTTAAATGTCTGTACTTCTGTAGGCAGGTTAGTGATCCTTCTGTGAACACCTCTAACGTGTCTATAAAGCAGGGCATAAACGTAGTGGCTTGACCTCCCAGGCCAAACAGCGAGGTTCCTGCTTCCTGGTGTCATTTGCATGTTGCCCTCGTCTAGGTGCAAGGAACGTTAGTTCTGTTTTTTTGTGCTAGCAAAGTGTACTGACAAACAGAGCAATCAATCAGTCACGTCTTACTGCTGCAATGTCATAAATAGAGAAATTGTAACAATACCTTATAGGCAGGTGATTGCTATTGGAACTTCTTGGTCAGATTTTATGAACCGACATGGACTTGGTGCCTATTTAAGAAAGGCAGCATCTATGGTGGTTTTAGTGGGCCAGCTTTTGTTTTTTCTCTCTGAATTATGTGGAGAAATCATAGGTGGGAAAAAATGAAAAAAGAAAGGTTTACAGCGTACTTAATTTTTCATTTCTTTGTGATTTCAAAATGTCTAGTATTCACTGCTTGAGCTTAAAGTAGTGTCTTTATTGCCTTAATGGCTCTTCACTGCTGTGTTATGCAAGTGCTGGGAGTAAAGGCAGCTCAGTCCAAGGGCTCTGCCTCATGTCAATTGTCCTCTGAGCTGCCCGTGTTATGATACATGCAGAAAAAGGCAGGAAGGTAGTTGTTGATCATGGGGTGCTTTGTCAAAGGTTTCCTCAGAAGTAATAAGAACTTTCTCTCAAGAGGCTGCTGAGAAAAGGAGTAACTAGAGTCTCTGCAGCAGCCAGCACGCAGCAGGGACTCAGTGCACAGAGACTGGAATGTCCACAACTCAGACTATACGCAGGGAGCACCCACTGCTTGCTTGGGAGTGGCCTTCCCTCGGCATGGGTGGAAATGTCACAAGAAGGGATACAACTGACAGTTCTGGCAGTTTTCTGGTTGGAGCAAAGGACAAGAAGTCAGGTGAAATTTCAGAGTGTCTTTCCTGCAACCTGAGAGGCAAGAACTCACGTATCTAGGTGACTTGTCCGTGTAGATGATACCAAAGTATAGTTCCTTTCAGTGTACTGCAGCGATGCAGAGGCTCAAAGAAATGCGAACGTGTTTACTGGAGCAAGCTGCTCAGAAGCAGGAAGAAGGCCGTCGGGTTCCTGAATATAAAGCAGCCCCAGTTGTAGCTCCCAAGTAACTGCTTTTGCCATGTGCCAGGACATCAGGTCTCACTCCTGGGAGCGTATCTCCTGGCAGCATCTGCTGCCTCCGCAAGGAGAACGGAAACATGGGGGCATGCTGGAGAAAAGGCCTGTGCCCTGGGCCAGCCTTGTCCCTGCTGAATATGCTCTGCCATCACAGGAATTACCCAAGAGGGAAGTTTAGCACAAGTCTTGTCAGATGAATGTGCTGAATACCGGGTGAGATGTGCAGCCGTGGAAGCGATGAGCATCGGTGAAGGAAACTGCATACTGAATGAGGCTGTACCTTTCATCTGGGATCTGAAGGCACTTGACAAAAGTGATTGACTGAGACTTGCAGTTCCTCTGTAAATAGGCACATCTGTCCTTTTCTCAGCCAGGTGAACTAAGAGGGGTGATAGGTAAACTGATTGCCTAAAGGACTCTTGCACAGACACAGAGCTAGGCTAGCCCTTTCCACCCCTCAGTGCTCTGCTTGGACCCTGGGACCCCCTCACTCCTGTATCAAATCAAAATCATCAGCTGTTGCCTCTCCTAGGTGTGCTCTAGGAAAGGTCTTTCTCAACAGGCACTTGCCACTATGAAAGGCAGCATTTGACATTGTAAAGCCTAACTGGGACACAAGCAGGCCATGGTAAAGAGAAGACTGCAGGAGTAAAGGAGGAATTTACTTTTAACTGCTTCATACAAGGAAAGCAAACATACGGAGTGTTTTATCCTGAAAGCAGAATAACAAACTGCTGTAGAGATTACTGGACTGGAGAAAACAGGACGGGAAGAGACCTTGAGAGAATCTGTGGTCTGAGCCCTGCATTGAGGCAAGAGCACCTATCTATTCCACATATAGATTGGCTAATTTGATCTTAATGTCTCTGTCTCTTCCCCTCTCTTCTCCTTCCTGCACCAGCAATCCGTTTCAGCACCTAAGCATATCTATCATAAAGGTTTTCTCAGTATCCACCGTGAGTTTCCCGTGCTGAAGTTTAGTGTTTTGATTTTTGTCTGGAGGGCAAAAGGAATGGTGTCATCTGGTGAAAAGGTGATAAAATCAGGGACTAGCAAGTGTGACCAGGCCCTCGTTTGCTCTTCCTATGTTATTTTGTTCTCTAAAGCGTTAAACTCCAGCAGGTTCCGAATAATCTCGGTCACTGGACAATTAAACCAACAGAGCTCTATAGTGCCTTGTAGCAGGGACTATGTAGCTCATAAGTATTTCCAATAGCAGTAGAATATTATGTAATCTGAAACCATTTATGCTTTAATAGGGCCCCCACTGTGAAACTCTGAAGGGAATGAATTGTTTCAAGGGAGAAAACTCCCTGCCTGATGTGGCAGCATAAAGCCCATTCTGACCTCCCCAAAACTCACGCACATTAATCTGTGCTAATCTGGAACCTCGGGGGACTGTGTCGCTAACGGGCAAAATAATGTCAACGGGAAAAGATGACCTTGCTGCTTTGAAATGCTTTTTAAATAAGTTCCCAGGCAGCATGCTGAGCTCTCCTTTTACAGAGAAGCCTGGCTGGTAGGGCTCAGAGAAGAATGATGGGAGCAGGTCACACTCCAAACCTGGGATTTTGGAGGATGGTTCCTCCAAATGCTGGTAGTCCTGGTTCATCACTGGCATTGCCTACTTAGGGACTTGGCAGCCTCCATCACCAGAGCCTGTCAGCCTGGAGGTCTCTTCAAAGAAGCACTTTCACACTTTAGTGGGATGGGGATCTTTAGCCTCTGTTATGGTGGAAGTCAAACTGCGTGTTCTGCTGGCTTATTCTGACTTCAGAAATTCATTTCCATGTCAGAAATTACTATTCTCAGGGTGTTAGAAACATTCTCCTGAGTTCTGACATGAACTATTGAGCTCATTCCCTCTGCTTTTTACTTGGAAAGAGGTATCATGGACTTCTCTGGAATTTTCCTTTCATAGAGATGTAGTCATAGCATTTTGTATCTAATTCTTTAAGATGTCAAAATGGTTTCATTCTGTTCTTTTCTGTTAATTGCTTTACTGCCTGGAAACTGCTGTGGATAAATAATGGTTCATTTAATTAGAGTCATTCAGTTGAGTCTTAGCAGAAGCCTTTACAGCTTGTTTAAAATTGTCTGTGTTCATGATGGTGTTCTGGATAGCTGGAGACCTGGCAAGTCCAGAGGGATGAGATTCTGACACAATTTGAACCTTCATAAATCTTTACCTGTGTATTTCAGAGCTTTGTGATTTGAGTTGAAATTACTAAAACTATGAAATCTGAAAATTCAGAGAATAAAAAGACAGTATCAATTCTTCAGTTGAATTATTCTTCAACTTACTGCTTAGAAAACCCTACTGATGAGCAGTTTTTAGTTTGCATCAATTAATGTTAAAACCATAAATGTTACAGCAAGGTCTCCAAAGCAGTTGAGAACTGTTCAGTCCACCGCACGAAAGCGTAACAGTGAAATGGCTGCAGCTTGTGAGCCCTTGGCCATAGACAGAAAATTGGTGATAGTCTGAAAATCTAGGAGCAGAACCACTTGTGACACAGGCCTCTAAAGCATTTTCTTAACTATTGGCCCAGCTTTTGGAGCCATTGCCCTTACTAGCAGGTAGGAGTTGCATTTCCCTGCATCCTTAGTAAACATAGTGTGTGTGTGTGTGTATTGAGCTGCGTGCCTCCAGCAGCACAGAGCGATAGTCCCATCTTGTGGCTGACGAGAAGTATTATTTTGGCATTAAAATCGCACAAAGCCATGGATGTTGGTTTCCTGGCTTTTGCTTTTGCTTCATTGACCAGGTAACTCTATTCTATTAATTT